GTTCTTTGCTGTCTTACAGCACCTACTGTGAATGAAATTGACTAGGAACATGCCACCTCAGTCAATTTTGTTCCCGGCAGGTAAAAAGCTTCTCATGGCAGGAGCATGGTGCCCACAGATACACTCCTGAAAAGTTACTTTCTTCCTTTACCTTTTAAATGTTTTTAACTCTTGCCCAGCTGATATGGTTTAGTGGATTGAGCATCGTCCCATGGACTGAGAGGTCCTGGTTCGATTCCCGGTCAGGGTGCATGCCCAGGTTGTGGGCTCGATTCCTGGTGGGGGGGTTGCGGGAGGCAGCTGATGGTTCTATCTCTCTCTCCCTTCCTCTGTCTCTAAAAAAATCAATAAAAACTATTTAAAAATAAGTAGCCCTGGCCTGTTTGGCTTAGTGATTGGAGTGTCACCCCACAGACCAAGGAGTCATGGGTTCGATTCTGGTCAAGGGCACATACCTTGTTTGTGGTTTGTCCCCGGCCCTGGTCAGGGTCATGCTGGAGGCAACCAGTCGATGTGTCTCTCTCACATCAGTGTTTCTCCCTCTCTCTCTTTCTCTCTCTCTCCCCCTGTCCCTCTCTCCCCTTCTCTCTCCCTCCCTCCCACTCTATCTGAAATAAATGGAAAAATATCCTCAGGTAAGGATTAAAATAAATAACTATTTAAAAATAAGTAAATAAATAAAAATTTTTAGCTCTTTTTGAAAATGGCATTACTTTTTCTCAACCATCTCTCAATATGGATTTTTTGTTGTTGCTATTTTTAGAAACAGATATTTAAAGAGGAAGGAATCCTATAGGTTATCTAACCTAATCATTATGACCTTACATCATACTCTAGATGTTTAAAAAAAATAAAAGGAATAGATTCCACTGATACTTTCATGAAGATTTGTCCCAATATAAACTTTCTTATTAATGATTTTAAAGAGTAAGGTATAAGAAGATGAAATTATGGACAAATGGATTGAAATGAAGTCATTCAAAATGATGTTGATCCAGAAAAGGATTATTTTGAAAATTTTAAAGGAAAATTATTTATATTTACCTGTATTTGTAAACTGATTGCAGCATTTTCCTCTACTATTCTTAATTTCTGAAAGATGTTCATAAAATTATTCATGTTGACTTTTTGCAAATTAAAGTATATTTTTATGTGCAACAAATTACCTGATTTTTAGAACTCAGTGACAACTTCCTTTGTATCATGCATAATCAGACTGCTTTTTATATTAGGTATTCTTCATTGTATTTTAAATTATCTTAAAATAGTGTACACCAGTATAATAAAAACAAGTTTATTTCCTAAGCAACATTAATATACTAATGATGAGATTTGTTTTTCACTTCATTTTGAGAATTAATCGTGGTAAGTGATAGATTGAAAAGTATCAGTGTTTAGTGAGGATTTTCTAGGATCTTGTGTATTACCTGTTAAATGAGTTAAATATTTTTAAACGATTCAAAGTGTACTTTGTGGTTTATTCTTATTTTAGATGTCTCTTAAATGTAATATGACATACAGATGAGAAAACTTGCTCTGAAGACTCCCTCCAGTTTAACAAAAGCCACCCATTTCACAGATGATTTAACTTTGATTAACCTATTCCATTGTCACAGATTATTCCGACAACTGGAATTTCATTCTTTGGTGTTATTTCTAGGTGCAGTTTAATTTACAGAACAGCTTTTCTTTCCATCTCACCAAAATACATCACAATTTTGATGTTAACTCAAGGTAAAAATTCAATGGTTCATTAAACCTAGTCTTAGCTTTCATTGACAAGAGATTTGTCCTTTTAAAAGTAACTGCTACTTTTATGCATTCTTTACTGCTCAGTTTATAACCTTAGATTCACTGTCAGAGAAAGCATGGAGTTAACCACTTAGCATATTGCAATGAATATTCATCAATAAATTGATGTGACATAGCAGTTCCATTTTTCAGTCTTCCTGCTCTGTTGCAGCCTTTTCCTTTTTTAATATAGCTTATCATGTAATAGGGACTAGCTTAGAAGATCTTTGGAATTATAATATTTTAGTCATGTTAGTAGTCCTTTAGTAGCTATTGTATTAGTTTTTAATAAGAGAAGTATATTTGTTTTAGAGGAACAGTCCCTAATCTGATGTTACTGATGTTAGGCATTTTTGCTAAATATTTGGTTTAGATAGGTAATTGTTTAAGATCAGCTTTATAATGAAAATATTATGTTTTGCATTTTGTAAGGATAGCAGATCATTTATTTTTATGTTCCTTCAAATTTTATTTAATTTATTTTTATGAAGCTTGGGTTTAAATAACTCATAATTTTTAAATCAGTTTTTAATCCATGTGGAAAGAGGGGTATGTATATTCATTCTAAAATGAAATCCTGAAAAGCATATATTTAAATAGTTAATACTTATCATTCAACTACAACTAAAATAATTTATATACGCAAGCGGGCATGGCAGATGCCATATAGTAGGCAGATATGGATCACTGTCTAACATACTTCATCTACATTTTAAATTTTAAAAGGAAAAGAGTGTCTATAAACAGGATCTTTTCTGTTAAATATGTAGATTATGAGGTCACTTAGCACTAAAGTACTGACCATATGTATTACGACAGGAATTTGACACCTGTCATTGGAAATGGTACTTAGAAGCCGTATAATGCAACAAAGTTGAGGGAGGAGAATACCATGTGGGTAGGAGGCTGTAATTTATAATTCACAGTGTGACCTGTCCAGGGTGATGCAAAATCCCTGTCTTTGATTTTAGGATTTATGCACAGTGAACCTTACCAGTAAACAAAATTGTTTAGGATAATTGATAGTATTAGCAGAAAATGGAAATACATATATTTCCAGACTTAATTTTTAATTGAAGTAAATTTACTGTTGTTGTAAAAATTAACTTTTAAGTTAAATGTAATTAAGTTATTTTATTACATCACACTTGCAGGTGACTTCATAGTAGAATTTCATTCTAACGTTTGAGCAGTATAGTATAGAATTGTTACCAGTTACATTGTTTTCAGATTAATAATTCGTTGTATATGAGAATTCATCTAAAAAGAGTACTGTCTTTCTTTTTCTCTGTGTGATTATATTGTTCCAAAAAAGCTTTCATTTTTTAAGTAGCACAAAAGCTGTAATTGGCATGCTTTGTAAGGAAGTGTCAATGTGCAAGAGAGTGGCGATCACTAAGAATTCTTTTACGTGTTCTTTCCCCTTTGCACCACCGCCTCCTCAGCGGGGTCACTGAGATCACTAGCTTTTCTTGAAATGGCCATTTTCACTGGCAGGTGCATTATACCCTGTATTTTCAGATTGTTTTTCCATTCTGAATGTTTGGCAGGTTGATTGCTCTGGCTGCATTGACGGAGAAAGGGCTGACAAATGCGGTTGGGCTGGCTGAAAAGACAGTGATTACTGTTTTCCTTTGTGGCTGATTGAGGCCCTTGAAAGGAAAAATTTTAACCTTCACCATTTGGTTCAAAAGTATGAGCATATATTGAAATCATTCGTGCCATTTATCCTAGTTCTGTAAACTTGTCAGAACGTAAAAATCGCTCCATTTCAACTAATGTAGGATTGGCATACGTCATTATCATTTTGATTAAGTTGGAGGTTGTATCATTGTGTGCATTATACAGTGTCATTTAAAGCTTTCTTTTCTACAGATACAGTTATATTTTTATTGCTTATACTATAGAGTTAGGAAGATTTTCATAGCTCTCCAAACCTAACACTATGTGTGTGGTTTGGCAGCTGGTGTGGCCTACAAGCTGCATTTTGTTTGCAGGGCAAAGATTTATCTGTAGGCCTCCTGGAGTGCGAGTAATTGCACGGCCCGCCATTGGGGAGAGACAGGATTGGAAGCAGTCAAGCAGAAGAATGTTATGCCATCCCATTGCCACCTTGTAGCAGAAAGACACAATCCCAGCCATGCCATCTGGTTGTTGCTGTCTAGTCAGCTGGCCAGGCTGCTGGGACCATGACATGGCAGCTGGTTCCCATCCTTGACCATTCTTTTGTGTATGCCGTATGTATGTGTATTTTAGATAATTTTGAACAGGGGTCAGGGAAATGACTATAACTAACAAGTAAAGTTCCCTTATTGAATAGGCTCTCATTACTTGAGATGCACTCTGCAGTAGATGCCTGCTGCTATTCCCTTATAGACAAATGACACATCTATGTAGGCAATAAAAATAAGTGTTTTCTCCATAAAAATCCATCTCAGTATGTAGTAAAAGAGAAGATAGGCAGAGTCATATGTTCTGTAACATTTTAAAATAAGTGATTTTAAGTTATTTCCTGGTTTGAGAATATAAGAGGATATTTAGTAATAAAAGTCTTATAAATGTTGTATATTGTCTCAATATATATTTTTATTCAAGAAAACATTAAGTGCTTATTGCCACATTATGTAACGGTAGATAATGAGACTTACATTTAAAATGACAGAATAGAAAATGTGGTCTCATAGCTATTATCTTTAAAATCTGCCTCTCAAATAGCAACCTGAGAGTTAATGTAAGCCGTCTTTATGCCATATGAAGACCCATTAGACACTGATGGTTTCAGATCACAAGTAAGCAGCCAGCTCTGTAGGCTATTTTAGACATTTGATTTTCTTCATTCTACAGCATTAATGTGTCAGCATGCTACATAAAACTATGCAAGAGTTGCATGTTGTTCTGTCTGGAATGGTAAATGCTTGCTTTTAGAGATTTCCATGAGAAATTCATCCTAGTTGCTTACACATCTTATTTCAGTTTCTGTAACTACAGAATTTGGTATGACTGTTGAGGTATCACATAGGTATGTATAAAAACCAAAAGATTCTACTTAATTCTTTCTTCAAAATCATATTGACAAAATTAATATTTGTACTTGTTATGTTTTATCGGTGATTTGCTTTTGTTTTTATATAAAGAGTTGTACCTTCTGCATATTACCTCAAAAAGTATCAATTATTTCCAAAAAATAATTTTTGTTCTGTTTTTTTCAGATGAAGAAGAAGAAGATGATGTAGTGACTCCTAAACCACCTACTGAACCTGAAGAAGAGAAAACTTTAAAGAAAGATGAGGAAAATGATAGTAAAGGTATCTTAAAGAATTCAACTTTTAAAAATTTTGTTGATTCCTATTAAGATTTCTTTTATTATTTATGTACGAAAGTAGAATAAAATGCTCTAAATCAAAAAGGTGAATCTGGTTGAAAAAGAATGTGTGGCATTCATTGATCCAATAGTGAGTTGACCTGATTTGATTCACATAAATCAGATTTCAAAAAAACATTTGTTTTCCAGCTCCCCCTCATGAGCTGACTGAAGAAGAAAAGCAACAAATCTTGCACACTGAGGAATTTTTAAGTTTCTTTGACCATTCCACAAGAATTGTAGAAAGAGCTCTTTCTGAGCAGATTAACATCTTCTTTGACTACAGTGGGAGAGATTTGGAAGACAAAGAAGGGTAATGTTTAATTGCTAAAATTATAGCTTCAACAATGTTAAATTACTTTAAGATTAACAGTGAGAAGTTATAACACAACCCTTTTTTGGATTTGGTCTTTTCTGTAGAGAGATTCAAGCAGGTGCAAAACTGTCATTAAATCGACAATTTTTTGATGAACGTTGGTCAAAGCACCGGGTTGTTAGTTGTTTGGATTGGTCATCTCAGGTAAATTATAACAAAACTGGTTGTTATTAACTCATTTTTTTCTTGTTTTCCTCCTTTATTTTTATTATTATTTTTATATTTAATTAATTGGGGTGACATCGGTTAATAAAATAATTTAGGTTTCAAGTATACAGTTCTATAATATATCATCTGTATATCATATTGTGTGTTCACCACCCAAAGTCAAGTCTTCCATCACCATTTATCCCCCTTTACCCTTTTCTACCTCTCCCCACCCTCCTTTCTCTCTGATAGTCACCATAGTGTTGACTGTATCTATGAGTTGGGGTTTTTTGTGTTGTTGTTTTGGCATTTTTTAAATTTATTTTTTGCTTAATCCCTTCACCTTTTATTTTAATTGTGGAAACTTTGTATAATTAAATCAATATCTATCATTTAAAATAATAGTGGATGATAGTTCTAATGTTTTTACGTTCATTTTATCTTATGTACTATGGAAGAGAGGATTGGAAACATTACTTATATTTAGAACTCAAGATTTTATTTCTGCCAAAACCCATTTTTTACTAATTTCAATTGCTCACCAAATCCTTTGGAAAAATTGCAACACATATATTAATGAAGTTAATTAAGACATTTTAATTAATTAACTGTACTAATTTAAGGCTGTACTAACTAATGTTCCAGTGAGCATAACTCTAGAGCTATCTTTTTTAGATATCTGTATTGAAGTGTTAGGTATTTGTATTTTCAGAATAATTTGATAAAGAGTTGAGGAACTAGGAATGCAAAAAACAGTTCTTCTTACCATAGCATTTTTTCTACTTGATTTTTGTGAGCAGTATCCAGAGTTACTCGTGGCTTCTTATAATAACAATGAAGATGCTCCTCATGAACCTGATGGTGTGGCCCTTGTATGGAATATGAAATATAAAAAAACTACCCCAGAGTATGTATTTCACTGCCAGGTAAGATGGCCTTTTAACAGTCTTCCCCAAGTGTTAAGAATTCATTAATTAATTTAGACGAGTGCCTTTTTTCTTTTCTTGTCAACATAATGATTTCATTGGGTTGGCATTTACTAAACCACCCCATATTTGCAAACAGATGTTAACAGAAAACTGAAGACTTCTCAGTTCAATATGATCTGCCTTTTGTAGTGTTTCTGACATCTCTTATAATGTTTAATCACACCTAAAGTTCTTTGCAGTTGTGATTTTCTGTTATTGTGATTGTATAAAAGAAATCTTTTATAAAATGTCTTTTCTACAGGGAGTTTCTTAGGAACTTATTTGTTGAATATACAATTAGACTCTTGGCCCACTGAATTACTTATACATGGCCTGAGGAGTTGGAACTAGATAGTTTTAAGTAGAAACATATGTTTGAAGTAGGAAACAGATGCAGTTTTAAAGTGGATTTAGTGGAAGGTTAGAATTCGAAAGCCTTTTTTGGTTGCATAAGTTATCTTTTAATAATATTATAATTCTGAACAAACAACTGAATCAAAACCAGCATATACTCTGTTGTCAGATTATTGTAAGAGGCTGATGCAGAGCCATTTATCTTTTGATTTAAAACTGAAATCAAATAAAATAAATTTTTGCTTTCTTTAGAAGTTACTTTAACATATTTATGTGTATAATCATTACATTTGACTTTTAAACAAAAACCATTCTAAAGATAAATTTTTATATTCTGGAACAAAACAAAATTTTAAATGAATTTATTTACTTGTTTTATCTCTGATACCTTAAAATGAAGGGGAAAATGCTTTGGATATAGCTTTATTTTTATAACTTGTCAGGCTTCTAACATTTGAACCTTAAGTATAAAAATCGTACTTATTTGCAGTCAGCTGTGATGTCTGCTACATTTGCAAAATTTCATCCAAATCTGGTTGTTGGCGGTACGTATTCAGGCCAAATTGTGCTGTGGGATAACCGTAGCAATAAAAGAACTCCCGTGCAAAGAACTCCGCTGTCAGCTGCTGCACACACAGTAAGTAAAGGGGTTATTTCCATTAGACTTCTGTGCTCCTTCACCATTAAATACTTAATAGTGTCCATCAGAATAGTCTCAGAATGTGTTTCCTTTGATGTATGAATTCCTCATCATTTACCGACCAAGAACAAAGGCCTTTTTTCTGTATTTTTGGAAATTTGTTTTATAAATCCATTTCTCTTCTGAGACAACCTTTTGTTAATCAACAAAATATCATCGAACTTCACATTAAAAATACCCGGAAGATAAGAGACGGTATTGATATGAAACAGTATCTATGATTATGCAGTAAAAATTGTTTCACTTTTTGGTGAAATAATTCCAGAAAACCTTAATATCTCTTTCTTCAGCATCCTGTATATTGTGTAAATGTCGTTGGAACGCAAAATGCTCACAATCTGATTAGCATCTCTACTGATGGAAAAATTTGTTCATGGAGTCTGGACATGCTTTCCCATCCACAGGTAGGTTCATCTTGGAAAGCTCTGAAATTTTGAGGCAAATATTGTTATTTTTTAAAGATAAACCCCAGCTTATGTTTTTCATAAATGTCTTATAACGGTATTATGGTAACAATTTGTAAACCTAAACATGTGTTAAATGTAGTTTGTTATATATAGATAGACTTTATTTTCAAACCTGCTTCATTTAATTAAAGACAATTTATATAAGTAGTATAATAAAAGAATTGTCTATAAACCAATTAGAACTAAAAATTTTTCTTAAATAATTCAAAATTGTAAGTTTACAAAATAATTTCCTAATTTTTTCTGTACAGGATAGCATGGAATTGGTTCATAAGCAGTCAAAGGCAGTAGCTGTGACATCTATGTCCTTCCCTGTTGGAGATGTCAACAACTTTGTTGTTGGGAGTGAAGAAGGTTCTGTGTACACAGCATGTCGCCATGGCAGGTACATCTAAACTGGAATTTGCAATTATTTAAGATTCTCCCTTGAATAATCTCATTAAAACAAATTGCCCCTTGTTTAAGTAGAAATCTATCCTAGAGCCACTCACTATTTGTGACAGATTATTTGAGGTCAGATATATAAAATAAAAACAAATACTTTTTTAAAAATAAAAGGTTATTTCAGATCATGATGTGTTCTGGATTTTGAGGATGGTGGTGTGTTGTGCTTTTGCATATGTTCACATGCTCACAGAAGTTAGTGGTTGGAAATAAAACTCAACAGTTGCAAATAGAGTATGCACATGCCACATACTGACCTTTAAAATTGTAAATAACATTTTCAATTGTTTTCCCATTTTATTTGGACTTTGAGCTTTAGTTCAGCCCTCCTGATAATTGTACAGTAATGTCACGTACACATTTTAAATTGACTAGTATTTCTCCTGCTGTTCAATCTGTTTTGAAATTGTCTAGCTGTACCTTATCAATTGCTTCCTTTAAAAAATTGAATGTCCAGTTTTCATCTCAAATACAGATCACCTTCACTTCAAAGCTTTTGATTTAAAAGTAGCCCAGCTTTTCCCTCTTATATGTAGCTTCTCTTTGTCTCTATTCCACCACCTCATATATTGAACTTTTGAGTTCTGTCTTCAGTAGCATGATGTTTATGGTTCAAAGGTGTACTTAACTGCTTTAGTAGTATTATCAAATAGAGTAACAGTCCATTTAAGTTATTCTGATGTGTTATGAGCAGAGTTAAGTTTGTTGAATATGTCAAAGTCTGCTATATAAACCATAAAATAATGTATTTGTAAGTGATCATCTTACAGAGATTTCCCTAATATTTTCACTTTTATGATAGCAAAGCTGGAATCAGTGAGATGTTTGAGGGACATCAAGGACCAATCACTGGCATCCATTGTCATGCAGCTGTTGGAGCAGTGGACTTCTCACATCTTTTTGTCACTTCATCCTTTGACTGGACAGTAAAACTTTGGACAACCAAGGTATCTAAAAACAGATGTCTGCTCATTTACTTAGGTTCCTAACACAAGGTGGTGCTCTAATACTACATAGGAAAGATGAAAAGCTTTCTAATAGCTTAGCATGATTAACTGATAGATCAAACCTGATAAGAAGTTAGAACATGAATGAGCTACTAGAGGTTGTAGTTTTCATAAAAGTGTGCTGACAAATATGGTAACCCCACATACAACCAAAGACCAGTCTTCCAACCACTTCAGATTGTCACACACAGAACTGTCTGTTCTGAACTGAGTTGGAGAAAAAGGTCCCTGGATATCTTGCCTAGCACCTCACATAGTTGTCATATAGCACAAAAGTCATACATTTTCTCTTTGGAGAGCTTTCAGAGACTTGTTCAGACTACGATGGCTCACAGAACTTATGGAAAATGGAGAAAAGACAGATAAAACCTGATGTACAATAAGTCCTATTTGATAAAGCTTACATATAATAAATTTGAATCATTAAGCTACCCTGGCTGGGTAGTTCAGTTGGTTAGAGTGTCATCCTGATATGCTAAGATTGCAGGTTCCATCCCTGGTCAGTGCACATACAAGAAGTAGCCAATGAATGCATAAATAAGTGGAACAAATCGATGTTTCTCTCTCCCTCTTTCTCTCCCTTCTTCTAAGATCAATAAATTTTTAAAAAAATTTTTTAAAGAAAGTATTGTATAAAATCATGGATGCATATATATTTTTGTTTTCCACAATAAATAATTTAAGTAGTCTTTTTTTTTTTTTTTTTTTTTTTGGTTTTAATAAGCTTTAGTTATTTGAAAACCCCATTTACATTAAAAAGTGCTTCCTGCCCTGGCCGGTTTGGCTCAGCGGTTAGAGCGTTAGCCCACAGACCAGAGAGTCCCGGGTTTAGTTCCCACTAAGGGCGCGTACCTCAGCTGTGGTTTGTCCCCGGCCCCGTTGGGGTTGTGTGGGTGGCAACCAGTCGATGTGTCTCTCTCACATCAATGTTTCTCTCTCTTCCTCACTCTCTCCCTCCCACTCTATCTGAAGATAAAATGCGAGTGTCCTCAGGTTAGGATAATAAATAAATAAATAAAATAAAATAAAGTGCTTCCTGATTCTCCAGCAATTCCAGATAAATGTGACAATGCCCTGCCTCACTGAAAGTCTCAAGGCAATTCAGGTCAGAAACGTTATTTTCTGTGATAGGCCTTGTAATTTCATTTGACCCTATTTTAGAATTAAAGCACTTTGATTTTGCTATCTAGCTTTTCTGCAGTATTACATTGTTGTTAACAAAGCTGTATACTCAGAATATCAGATTATACTTAAGTTACATTTTAAGCTATATTTTTCATGTTTCCATCTGCCTTCTCCTAAATAATAACTTTCTGAATAATTTTCATCAAACAAAGTTTAGAAACCTTATTTGGTTCTTCCCTTTTATTTTTAGAAACCTAGTAGTCTTAAGAGATTTTCTTTGCTATTACAGGTAACTCATTTATTTATCAAATACTGGATTCAGAAATCTGGGATGAATTCAGTGTTCACTATTATCTTTTCTTGATGCTTTCTTTCAGTCTAATATGAAGTGAGTTAGAAGACTTCACCTCTAAACGCTTGCCTTTTAAAATTAAACATTTTCAGTTTTGGCATTAGCAGGTAGCAAAATAGCACTTACCTTAAGTCTAATGAAGGAAACATAGGAACGTGTTTAACACAGTGTTTAAGCATGTAGTAGGAACTTAATGTCCAATTCCTCCTTTTCCCCTTTATGAGAATCAGACAGCCTGAATGCATTTAAACAGTGGTCTATTTTCATTCTTGGATTATTCTTGAATTTTTGTTCTTCTAATGAGATTTAAATAGTGAAAAAGAGAAAGAAGACAATTCCCACAAAGAAATGCATAATCTAGCTAGTAAGACTGAAGCAAGATTCAGGACTGGAAAAGTGAAGCCAGCTGCTTCTCTGCAGGCTGCAGGAAGCAGTGGAAGCGGCTAGAATTCTGAATGTACTTCCACCTGAGTGATCCTGTATAGACACAAGGACGTGACATCTTTCTTAGCGTTTTGGCTAGCTTCCTTTTTTCGTAATTGAAAAGTATCTATTTGTGATTTATTATTATTTTTAATATCTCAGGGCTTCAGTTTGCTAGCCTTCTTGTTAGCTTTAAATTTGAGGCTTTCATCCTTACATATATTGCTAACAGGACTGGAAAATGAAGGGTTCATCTTGCCTAAACAAGAACTTACATCTGTGAAAGCAGACTAATCGATGCTTGCCTTTGTGGTACTACACAGTTGGTTGATTGGTGGTTAATATTTTTTGTTCTGGTTTTTTTTGTATTTCAACATAGAACTGCCTCTGAATAAGAATGACAGGCAGGCGTATCTCATTTTGGGCTAGGTATTGCTTTCTTACGTGAGTTTCATTTGGAAGACTCCTTCATTCAACCGTGATACATGCTTCTTCCCTCCTCCCCACACATTGATACCTCTCAAATGTTAGTGGCCGGAGGATGGGCCAACATCCAACAGGGTGTTTTTATACATGCTCAGGGGCCCTTGAAAACTTTATCAGAAGAATTACCTCTTATTCTAACTATTCTGCACACAAGCAGTTCTGTATGAAAGATAGAACAACAACAATCTGCTGAGTAAATACTTTCTATTTGTCAATATTGTGGCTCTCAATGTCATTATTTTGATCTTAGATTTATACTTTAAGGTTAATTGTGTTGCTGGTATTTATTTCTACCCTACCAAACAACTTGACAGAGCCTCTGTGCTCTTTAACACAATGGTGATGAATAATAGGCAGGTAAGGTTCTTAAACACTCTTTTTAAAAACAATGTTCCAGTTCCATTTTAAACTCTTTAAACCAATATCTTTACATTCATGAATTTAACAGACCTTTTAAGTGTTTTTCTTCTCTAGCTTTACTTTTAAGTGTTTTCTGACTCTGGGTATTGAGCCGCCGTAAACTAGAAGAGTGAGTCATTAGGTATTGCTATGCCTTTGTTTCCTTTTTAAGATCTGGCTCTGCCCGAGTAGCAAAACAAGAGTCCTTCTTCTTTTTCTCCCTTTCTGTAAGTCCTCTAAAAAAATTCCTAGAAATCTCAATTTGGCATTGCCTCATATTTCGTTGAAAGTAATCTACTTCTGTAGTCATCTTCTAAATTTTGCCTAATTAGGAATTTACAGAGTTCTGGGTTATCAAATTATTTTCTTTACTCCTCTGAATTCAGTTATTTTTACTAAAGAAGATAAAGATAGATGATCTTCACATTTTGGTGAAGTTTAAACCAACCAAGACGTTACTATTTGGAGAATATGGTTAACTTTCAAAATACCAAATTTGAAAATTCACAACAGGAAGCACTTTTCCAGGCTTGAAAATTGGTAGAAAGAATATGTGAGGAGTAAAAACTTCTTCAAGGTAATCTGAAGATTCCGTAAGAGCTTGACCAGGTAAATTAAGAGATAGACCCGGTAAATTAGCTTAATGTTCCATTACATTTATCCATACTTGTTATAGATTATTCTTAAAATTTAAGAATTTATTTTGGGAGACAAAATGTTTTCATGTACATGTAGTATATTCTAGTCTCAGAACAGTATCAGAACCTTATTTACCATAAACTGACAAAATTAAGATTGTTAATGTGGTAATTTCTTAGAATTGGTAGTTTTCAGACTTTTGTAATCCATACATACACTAACATTTTTTTACAGTATCTAATGTCTTAAAGCCCTTCATTATTTTAATAACTTACCTATTTAACTCTCAGAAAATACAAGCATTAAAACAGGGTAAAGAGATTTTACTAACTCTTGGAATAGCAACTGTGAACATATTAGACGAGTTAAAATGAAAAAAATGCTTTGAAGTTGGTGTGTTTCGTGGGAAAGCCTACTGAGCATTGGGACACAGTGGCAGCATTTACCATAGTAACTTGCATATTTAGAAACTTAGTTATGTCAATCTACTAGAGTTGATTAGCTAGGTAGTGCTGACTGGAACTAAGGTCAATTTATTAATTTTCAATGACAAATAACTGCCCAAAGGCCCAGATACTCATGCTGGCCTGACCAACTCATTGTTTTGTTTTTTATCCTCACCCGAGGATATTTTTCCATTTTTTGTACAGATAGAGTGGGAGGGAGAGAGAGAGAGAGAAACATCGATGTGAAGGGACACATCGAGTGGCTGCCACCCGCACAACCAACCAGGGACGGGGACAAACTACAACCGAAGTACGTGCCCTTAGCGGGAACCGAACCCGGGTCTCTCCAGACCGCAGGCCGACGCTCTAACCACTGAGCCAAACTGGCCAGGGCCCAGCTCATTGTTTTCCCATAGACAATCTACATGGGAAGCCAAATTATAATCAAAAGATTGCTTAGTGAACAAGGAATTGAAACAAAAAGTTTTTTAATTTGACTGTTTAATAGCATCAAGCAAAGATGGCATGATTCATTCATCTTCACAATATTCTTGTCATGAGTGGTAATTCTCAGAGTCCATTTGACAGACTCTCTTAGACAGTGCTTGCATTGGATACTGTGTATTTTTGTCGTAAGACTCTGCTTCTTCGTATTTTCATTGTTTTTAATAGACACATTTGTCAAAAAGGTAGTGTTGTCAGTCAGGTTATGAGGAAGGTATTTCTGACCTTGGAATCATTTATTTATTTATTTATTTTTTCATCCTCACTCAAGGATATTTTTCCATTTATCTTCAGATAGAGTGGAGGGAGGGAGGGAGGGAGAGAGAGAGAGAGAGAAAGAGAGAGACATTGATGTAAGAGAGACACATCAATTGGTTGCCTTCTGCACGACCCCAACCAAGGCCAGGGACCGAACTACAATCAAGGTACATGCCCTTGACCAGAATCGAACTCGCAACTCTTTGGTCCTAGGGCAGACGCTCTAACCATTGGCCAGGGTGGAATCACTTCTTTTTGAAGAGGATCTGTTTCCGTTCTGATCCATGTGAAGACATATTTCCCAGTTC